AAGGTGGAGCTTAGCCCATGAAAAGAACAGGCAAGTGTGGTTACTCCCATTTCATTTCTCTCCATATTGAATAGACACAAGAATATAACAAAAGACCCGGGCTATTGAATCTAGTTTCTCACAGTTACTAAGCTTTTATGAAAATCCTCCAAGGTTGCATAGGATAAGTGGCATATATAAGCAGAGAAGAACACCATACTGTGTTAAAGTAGAAGACTGATTTAAAACTGGGAGATAGCAACTGCAAAGCAAACACCTTTATCTTGAGTATTTCACGCTTTCAGTTACAGATGAACAACCTGTTGTATTATATTGTCTGGGGCTGAGCAACCCCACTTTAAGTCTGTTAGGTCTGGGTGAATTGTCTTTCTCAAGAAAGACAGGTCTTTCTAACTTTTGCTCTATGAAGTGCATGTGTGTCTTCACTGTCATTATCTCCCTCTATATTCCTCTTAAATCGAGCATCACCTTGAATGCATGCTTTTGTATATTTGTTGACCAGATGAAAAATATTAATAGCATACCATTGGTATGTATTTATTTATTTGAAAGATTTCTATCCCATCCTTTGCATAGCCTCAGTATTGATGCGTAAGAGGTTGGTGCACATTTCTCAAATACACAGGTTGCATCTCATTAGCTCCTTTTTTGTGGTGGATTAAAACGATGCATAAATCATAATGGAAATATCAATTCATACATATCAGCCATAACCAATGAGTCACAAAAAATGCATGCTGCAACTCAGCTGACTCCATGACACTTAACACTTCTACTTCTTGATTATGTTTGGATTAGTGGAGAAATGAGGTCTTTTTGTTTTGAGATATTAATCAGGGTTCTAGATGAGCTATGAGCTTGTCAAAATTTAAGTTAAAATGATCAGCTTTGGCCCAAGTCATGTTTTGTCATAAAGCTTTACCACCAGAACACCTGCATTTAGATTTCCAAAGTACAGGAGCAGTAGGCAGATGACAATAATGTTAAAATCAAGCACGTGTAATAAACTCTAACTTTAACTCCTAAAGATTCAGAAAGAATGATCCTATGGCTCCTAGAGGTTGCCTGAGAAGCCATAGGATCTTCCAGCTTCAAGGTCAGAGACACCACCCTGACCTCAGAGAAGTGAGAAGTTCCTCTTACTTTGCACTGGATGAGCCTCCAAGTTTGAAATTTGCTGTTATTCTACGCACATTTACCCAGAGGTAAGTTGCAGCATATGTCAATTAGATAAAGAATTCTAACCCTTACAAAATCAAGTTCATCTCAAGAGGAAAGCAGGTCATTCTTGTCAGGGAGTCCTTACTAAGGGGTACTGAGGTGGCAGTATGACGGCTGGATCTAGGGGAAAGGGAGGTTCGCTGTTCGCTGGGCACATGCATCCAGCCTGTGACATACTGGAGCATTTTCTTCCCTCGGGGAGTCTTCAGTCACTTCTGGAAATCCATGTGGGGACACGCAGGGGATGGGTGGGATCACTCAAGACTTGGAGGCTCTGGGCAAGAGACTCAAGTACCTGAAGATTCAGATGCCCTTTTCCTTGCCCTTGCCTGTATGTGGACATGAGTTGACCCGGGAGAGGAGGGTTGCAGAGATGAATGACTGGCTGAGGACCTGGTGTTGGAGGGAAAGCTTTGGATTCCTTGACCACGACAACAGGTTCCTTGCACATGGACTTCTGGCAAGGGACAGAGTGCACCTCATCAGGAATGAGGAAAGCAACTTTTGGGAATGCTCTACTGAACTTAATCTGGAGAACTTTAAACTGATTGTAGGGGGGTGGGTGGGTGGAATCTGGGATCAGGGCCCTCAGAAACCAATCATGAAACCAAACATGATCGGACTGGTAAAGGAACAGGATCAGAGTCTCAGAAGCAGGGTGATGTAGGGACTGGCATTACTGCTGCACAGAGGTTCCTGCTATGTCAGAGAGGCCAGGAGGAAGGAGGAGGCCAGGAGAGACAGGGAATGGGGTTCATGGGAAAGAGCTGCGATGTATGTACACCAACAGTATGAGGATGGGAAATGTTATCATCCACCATGTCAGCCTGAGACCCTGGTCGATGCTCTGATAGACCTGATTGGAAGGGTGTCCCAGGGAAGAGACATGGTCATAATGGTAGACTTTAATGTTCCTGATATTAGTTGGGATCCACACTTGTTGGCGGCTATGTCCTGTTGCTTCCTAGAAGCTACGGAGAGAGGGTTTTTCACCAAGAGGGTGTGCTAGGAAACAAGGGAGGAGGACATCCAAGACTTGGTTCTGACTAATAGGGAAGATCTGGTGGATGATGTGCAGACTAGGGGAGCCCTGGATGCAAGTGACCAATCCAACCTATGCTTTTTGATTAGGAGAATGGGGATGAGCAGTAGGTCAAGTACTAGGAGTTGGGACTTCTTGAGGGCCAACTTCAGTCAGGCTGGAGGAGGTCTCCTTGAAGAGGGTACTGGAAAGCTAGGGAGTTCAGGAGGGGTGGATGGCTGTAAAAAGGGTGGTCTTGGAGGTGCAAGCTTCAATGATACCTCTGATTAGCAAAGCAGGGAGTGTAGGAGGGCACCAGCATGGATGTGAAGAGAGATGGTAAGAGGGGTTAGAAGGAAGAGGGACCTCCACAGGAAATGGACACTGGGGGAAGTGGACAAAAGTGTTTGCCAGCAGGAGGCAGCATGATGCAGAAAGATTCTTCGCAAGGCTAAGGCCAAGACTTGCAAAATATGTGAAAAGCAACAAAAATGGTAAATAGTAAGAGGAAGGGAAGACAAGTGGTGGGAACACTTAAAAGAGAGGGAATTAACTGATGTAAGGGAACAGGCACAGATGTTAAATGATTATTTTCTTTGTGTTGTCCCCAAAACAGGTTGGGGGAGTTCTACATTGGGCAGGGGAAGGGTAGATGAGGTTGGGGTTATGGGGGCACAAATTGGAGTCACCTTCCTAGAAGTTGAGGAGCTCCTCAGTGTCCTGGATTTTACAAAGGCACTAGGCCCTGTTGGGCTACACCCAAGGGTACTTCGCGAATTGGCTGGGGTACTCTAGTGTCCATTGGCCTACATTTTTTGAGGCCTCACGGAAAACAGGAGAAGTTCCAAAGGATTGGAGGATGGCATCAGTGGTTCCAATGTTCAAAAAGGGTAGCAGAGGAGATGGGGAATTGCAGGCTAGTTGACCTGATGTCCATTCTGGGAAAGATGATGGAAAGGTGCATAATAGGAATAGTTCTAGAACCCCTAGATAGTGATGGGAGGTTGATAGCCATGCAGCACTGATTCCGTAAAATCAGATCCTGCCAGACAAACCTTGTGGAATGATAAGGTCTCAAGGTAGCTTGACAGAGAGGGGCCATGGTAGATGCGCTTTACCTGGATCCCAGCAAGACCTTTGACAAAGTGTCGCATGATATCCCGGTTGAGAAACTGTTGGGCTTTGGGATAGATGGATGCACTATCTGATGGATTAGAGAATGGTTGACAGATTGCAAGCAGAGGGTGACTATCAGTGGATAACCATCAGGATGACACCCAGTGCCCTGGGTCCCCCAGGGCTCAGTTCTGTGACCAATTCTGTTCAACGTTTTTTCTCATATCAATAAGAAGGGGATAACCAATCTGCTGACTAAATTTAGGGATAACACCAAAGTGGGGGCAGTGGCCACAACTGAGGAGCAGGTGATCCAGATCCAGAAAAATCTGGACAGGCTGTCGAAGTGGGTGGGGGACAAGACGATGGCTTTCAATGTAGATAAGTGCAAGTTCTTGCATTTGTGACATAGAAAATAGATGTCACAGGTACAGGATGGGGGACAAGTGGCTGGAGAGCAGCACTTGTGAAAGGGATCTCAGGTATTTGTCAACAGCAGGCTGAACATGAGCCAGCAGTGTGACGGCAGTCAAGAAGGCAAATGCCACCCTAGGATGTATAGCCAGAAGCATGGCTTCCAGGGCTAGGGAGGTGTTAATAGCACCCTACACAACTCTGGTGTATCCACAACTGGAGTACTGGGTCCTGTTCTGGGCTCCCCATTATACAAGAAAGATAGCTAGGTTAGAATTGGTCCAGTGCAGGGTCACAAGAATGGTAGCTGGGTTGGGAGGGATGACATATGAGGAGAGATTGAGGGAACTCAGTCATTTCAGCCTGGAGAAGAGGAGACTCTGGGGGCATCTTTTAGTGACTTACAGGCAGTGCTTTTTTTGTCATAGAATGTACCGGAACAGAGTTCTGGCACCTTTTTTCAACAGATTTTCCAAGTTTTAAAAGTAACTTTTGAAAATTTGATGTTTGGTCCATGTAGATTTGTACCGCCCTGTCGAGTGTAGCAGGTCAGTGGCAAAATCATTAAAACAGTGCATGCAGGCTGCTTGTGTGTCGAATTCAATGCATGCGTACTTTGTCCATGCTGGTTATGATGGTGCTGCTCGGCTTGTGGCGCTGCTTGGCTTGTGATTGGTCGTGTGGTCACATGCTGAGTGCTTACTGCAGGCGGCAACCGTTATGTTTCGTTACATAACTGACGTGTGTGGGTGTGTGTACAGTGATTGATTACATGCGAAAGGTAAATGATTTCATGAGTTCTGGCACCCTTTTTCTTACAAAAAAAGCACTGCTTATAGGTATGTGAAGGGATGTCATGTGGAGGAGGGCTGTGACCTGTTCTTCCCTGCAGTGGAGTGCAGGGTATGTTTCAATGGGGACAAGTTCCAGGAACAAGGCTTCAGATTGGATGCCAGAAAGTACTTCCTGACAGTTAGGGACCCTAGGATATTTAATGGACTTCCACGGGAGGTGGTTGAGTCCCCATCAGTGAGGGTGTTCTAGGAAAGATTGGACAACCACATGTTGGGGATTAGATGAGTGGAGCTGGCTGAAGCTGGGGGTCAGATTAGATGGCCGAGAAGGCTCCTTCTGGCTCATTTTTTGTTTCTATTATTCTTTCTCTTCTCTCTCTCAGTGTAGTGCACTTTACACACACATCCATCCAATTACAATTTTTTCTTCTTACCTTGCCAAAACTTCCTTTGCCAATTGCTCGAAGTATCTGGAAATGATCAAAGTTCACTGCAGATTAGAAAGAGACAAAGTTTTCATTAATTCTTCTTAGTTTTCCACCAATGTATTTTAGAGAGATATGGCACTGAAAGTTACACAAGATGGTGGTGTACTGACAAGAACAGTTTCCCCGACCCCAGTGCCTCACCAGATGAACCTGTTAGTCTCAATATTTCAGAAACAGAAGAACCCATTTTCAGCGCTATTGTCATACATGCACATTCTGGCAAGATTCCCAGGCACACATGGGAACCTGACCGTTTTGGCAGGGCTGACAGCTCAGTCTCTGTTAACGAAATGGTTGTTGTAACTGATGTGGATTCAGCTGCAGTCGCAGTTTCTCTGCACCCATCTGTGCCTGCTCAGGATGAGATTCATCAAGGGGCCCAGTCAACCTGCCCATGGGAATGAAGAAGAATAGCATCCTGAGGGTGGAGGATTTAGAGATGGGGAGTTTCTTGGATGGAGAACTCCAGCCTTCTGAGGAGGTTGACCCAAAAGTCCATCATCACAGCTGCAGAGTGGCCCAATTATGATCTCAGAGAGATGAATGCAGGTGCACCCGGATTCGCAACACCCCTCCTTCCTGAGACAGGCACAGAAGGGTTTATAAGCAAAACTTTGAGTGAAAGGGGCAGAAAGGGATCCACATTTCACTTTGTGTATGCTGAGACTTCTATGTAGAAGATGTTTACAAGAAATGCTGCAGAGGTTGTCTTGCTTGGGAAGGAATGCCTAGTGCACTACACTTTGAGGATTACAGCCAATAAGTAAGGTGAGGATTGTTTGTTTTTTTGTACATAAATGAAATGTGTTATGCTGACAAAGATGGTCTGCTTGGTTTGCTCCCATTGTAAAGATGTGGAAGGCGAAGTCTGATTCTGTACAGAATTCATAAGGTTTAACCAACTTATGGTACCCAATCCCCTCACCATACCCTAGGTAGATAATTTGCTAGACAAGCTGGCCCAAGCCTGGCATATTACCACTACTGATCTTACTAAAGGCTATCAGCAAGTTCCTCTGGATGAGGACTCAGCCACTAAAATGGCTTTTGTTACCCACCTGGGGTTACATATATCAAATAACTCTGCCATTTGGGCTACGCACAGGTCCAACTGCCTTCCAGCAACTTATTAATGGGTTCCTGAATGTGTTGGGAGAATTTGCCTGGGCCTATTTGGATGATGTAGTCATCTTTAGTCCAATTTGAGAGTCCTACATGAAACGTTTCTGGGAGGTGTGCTAGCATACTCAGGAAGCTGGGCTCATGGTTAAAGCTGAAAAATGCCAGTTTGGATTATGGAGTGGGTGCACCAGGAGCACAAGGTGGGTAGTGGGAGGCTGCAACCTTTGGAGGCTAAGATCAAAGCAGTGCAGCAATGGCTGCACCCTCAAACTAAGAAACTAGTGCAGTTTTTTGTGGCTTAAGAGAATACTATCATTAGTTGGTTCCCCACTTTAGCCAACTCATTTCCCCAGTGACAGATTTATGTAAAAAATGCAGTCCTACTCATGTGCATTGGATGGAGGAGTGTCAGCAGGTATTTCATAGAATCATAGAATAGTAGAGTTGGAAGGGGCCATGAAAACCATCAGGTCCAACCTCCTGCTTTTGCAGGACATCAATGTATACCATCCCACTCAGTTGGCTGTCCAGTTTCTTTTTCAATGTCTCTAGTGTGAAAGAGCCCACAACCTCTCTAGGCAATTGGTGATGGTTTACACAGATTCCTAAACAGAACCATGATATCATAAAGAGATCATATAATTTTCTCTAATACAGAAATTTAAAAAGTTTATTTTATTTATTTATTCATTTTAAACTTTTGTATGCCATCCCTTATGCATGGCACCTCAGGACAGCTTACAATACTTAAAATCAGAATACAATAAAACCATCACATCTATAAATAAATAACACAGTAACAATAAAAATCAAAATCAAAGTGACTGTCAAAATGTTAAAATACTAATTTTTAAAATGACGATTAAATAAAAAAGGTTTTGACCTGGCATCAAAAAGAATATAAACTTGGCGCCAGGCACACCTCTCTGGAGAACGCAATCCACAATCTGGGCACCACATCAAAGAAGGCCCTGCTCCGGGTAGATGTCCCTTTTACCTCCTTCAGGGAGGGTTCCTGGAGCAGAGCCTCTCCCATAGATCTTAAGGGGCGTGAGGGCATATAAGGGAGGAGGCGTTCCTTCAGGTATTCTGGTCCCAAGGCATTCAGGGCTTTGCAGGTCAAAACTAGCACTTTGAATTGTGCCTGGAGTTGTGCCAGTGAAGCTGGTAATGGACCAGAGTTACATGAGAATAGCAACTGGTCCCCCTTAGCAGCCTGGCAGCTCTATTCTGTACCAGCTGAGTATTCAGACCATTTTCAAGGGCAGCCCCACATAGTGCACGTTACAGTAATCCAACCGGGAGGTTACCAGAGCATAAATCACTGTTGCTAGGCAGTGTTTGTCCAGGTAAGGACGCAGCTGATAGACTAGCCAAAGCTGTAGGAAAGTACTCCTTGCTACTACCGCCACCTGGGTTTCCAGTGACAGCTCCGGGTCAAGGAGTACTCCCAAGCTGTGGACCCTGTCCTTTAGAGGGAGTGCTACCCTGCCAAGGACAAGGTCAAAGTCACTTACCTGAAACCTCAATCCGCCCACCAACAGGACTTCCATCTTATCTGGATTGAGGCTCAGTTTATTGGCCTTCCTCCAGCCCATTACCTCGGCCAGGCACTGCTTCAGTACAGCCACCACCTCACCTGGACTAGATGTAAACGAGAGATAGAACTGGGTGTCATCTGCATACTGGTGACTCCACAGCCCAAACCTTCTTATGACCTCTCCCAGCAGTTTCATGTAGATGTTGAAGAGCATGAGGGACAAGACAGAGCCCTGCAGAACCCCATGGCACAACTGCCATGGTGCAGAGCTATAGTCCCCCAGCACCACCTTCTGGAATTGGCTGGCCAGGAAGGAGTGGAACCACTGCCATGCAGAACCTCCTACTCCTAACCCAGCCAGCCTATCCAGAAGGATACCATGGTCGATGGTATTGAAAGCCTCTGAGAGGTCCAGGAGAATCAATAGGGATGCACTCCCCCTGTCCCTCTCCCTGCACAGGTCATTGTACAGGGTGACCAAGGCAGATTCAGTACCATAACCAAGTCTGAAGCCAGACTGAAATGGGTCCAGATAATCCGTTTCATCCAAGAGTGCCTGGAGCTGTCCTGCCACCACCCCTTCTAACACCTTTCCTAAAAACGGAATGTTGACCACCGGTCTAAAGTTGGAGGCCACCTCTGGGTCCAGGAATGCCTTCTTCAGGATAAGCTGGATCACTGCCTCCTTCAAGGGGGGAGGGACCCAGCCCTCTCTCAGTGAGGTGTTGATATCCTCCTGGACCCAGGGACCAACCCCATAACTGGCTTAAGTAGCCAAAAGGGGCAAGGGTCAAAAAGACAGGTGGTGGGAGGCACCATTCCAAGCACCATGTTCACATCATCAGGCCACAATAACTGAAACTCATCCAATAATGATGGACCAGACGGCGCTCTAGACACCTCCTGTACTGGAGTCATATCAACTGTGGAGTCCAGATCACAGCAAATCAGAGCTATTTTTTTCCCTAAAGTGCTGGACAAAGTTGTCACAGTGGGCTGCCGAAGGTGTGACCACTTCATTTTCCTGGCCAGAGTGTATCAGGCCTCGCACCACTCGGAAAAGATCCGCTGGATGGCACTGTGAGGAAGCAATGGAAGCGGAGATGAACTGCCTCTTAATTAGTTAATATTACATAACTTTGGATATTCTTAAATGCCTTGGCATAAAGTTCTGTCTTAACCTGGCATCAAAAATTGGTGCCAGATGGGCCTCAGTGGAAAAGTTAGAGTAACAGGGAACACTGAATTCCATAGATGAATTCAAAATAAATAGTCAAATGTTTTACTGCTTACTTCTGTTTCTTTATGAAGTCTGATCACCAAGATGACAAAAAATAACTCCTTTCTCTCTCTTAAAATCAGAGGGCTCAGTATGGCTTTTAAGTGGAATGCACAGTGCTTCTAAAAATGACAACCCATAGCCACAAAATAGATGATTATTCCAAAAACAGAGTACCCTGTTGTTGCTGGAAACAATACATAATTTCACATTTGAGTGTGTCAGCTGACAAAGAAAGCGGTCTTCCATTAATTACTCAAATGTTTTATGAATGGAGGCGATCTATAATAGCCAATTCACATATAAATGTGGACTGGAAAGTTTCATGTCACACACTTTTAACAAGCAAAATGATGACAGCTATTGTCTATTTAGAGAGGACTATTTTCACACACTAATGCAACTTCATTATGACATAGTTTTGACAATGACAATCCATTAAATATAATAAGGATTTTGGTGAAGAAATCAGTGAAGAAATGAGTGGGGGAGTCTCAATATGTTGAAAAATATTACCTAAATTATAGAGGAAATTGAATGCAGCAAAGTTGCATAATGGCATAAATCAAACTGGAACTGCAAACCATGGCTTTGTAATATACTAGGTGATACATCATTTTTAATAAAAGCAATATTAGTCATGATTTCTCTTGATTACTCTGACAGTTGATGTTCATTCTGAATGGCACCACTTATGCAAGAGCAGAGCTTACATTTGACAAAAAAGATAAACATTTCCATCTTCTAAAATCATTAGTAGAAAGCAAAATAGGTTGTAGAAAATGCCAATACTTGAATTTCTAGAAGGAAATGAGAAGGATGAGCTGACTCTCTTCTAGCCTTTCTCACTGGATTTATTATTCTAAGACTTTATTCTTCCATCTGGTTTTGACACAAGGTATCCAGGGCTTGCATTATATTGCACCAAAATCAGTTCAGAATAGCAACAGTGGATGTTTTTTTTCTTGATTGAAGGCTAAATGCCCAGGCTTCTTTCATCCATAGCTATAACCTTAGTTAGCCATACGCAAAGAAAGAAGGCAAATCTGCGACTTGCATTA